CACTTACTTCTACACATGTAGAGAAAGAGTCCCCCTCCCGTACCATGTCCATGTCCTCTATCTAATATGTAAATAAATTATTTTATATTTATTGATCTTGTCTATTAATTATTAACTAGTGTGTATCCTGTGCTATGCACAGGTGAATAATACTAATAATAATTATAAATTAAAGATGAAGATAAACAATATTAACTATAATTATAAATTAAAGATGTGTGGTTACATATGATAAAATTTACGGTATATAGTCTATTGTAACAATATAAAATTATTTTGTATAAAGAATATAAAAAAATTTATGTCTAAAATATTAAAATTGAGAAAAGATTTACATATGATACATAAAATAAATATTGAGATGAAACCGAAAATTACTTTGTCATCAATTTGAGTGTAAAATAAACAATGGCTTAATAACTCCATGCTTTATGCATATGCTTCATTTATCAATTTTATATAATAATGTTAAAATATCATTATTAAATTTTTTATTCAAACGTATAAAATAAACGGAGGCTTAACAATTCCACGCTGCATTCACTTTATTTATCAATTTTATGTAATGATCTTAAAATCTCGTTGTTATTAAGATTTTTATTCAAACACGTATCAACAAAGTACACATTTTTGGGATTTATGATGAAATACGAATAAATGATTTCCTTATAAAAGAAATCCGTACTTATTTATTTTTGAAAATCAATGCAAACCCATAAAGAGTTTTTGTTCTTAACAAACTCCAACAGTTCTAATTAAATCATATTATTCCAATTTGATTTCATGATGGTTTTAAAATCTGTACACGTGGTCATAATCTATATCAAGTAAACAATCCCCATAATTTTAGAAATCAATATTTATCTGTTTTGAAAATCAATGCAAATTGCTTTATCTTTTTTTTCTAAGAAACTCCTACAGTTCTAATTAAATTATATTATTCAATCCAATTTGGGTACGAATTTAAAGTTTCAATTTGAAAATGAATTTAAAAACTGTACACGTGTTGATCGTCTTTCAAGTAAACATAGTCCCATTTTTTTTGTTATTAAGTTTTTTATTCCAACAAATGATGTGGTGAAGATTTATTAAGTGAGTACCTATGATGTATGGATTATTGTAGTATACTCTTTTTTTAATTGTATAAATATAATTGTGATTTTTTTTTTTCCCGGTTTGCATGGACGGTATTTATAATTAGTGCAAGTTAATTAAATGAAGTTCATTTTTTAACAAAATTCATTGAAGTTTTTTTTTTTTACTAAAATGAATGATGCAAACTCGTACCATTTTAAATTATCCACAATTTGAATAAGGACTCCTTAAATTTTGAATACTGCTAAATTTTATGTCTATCATTATTTATGCGGGCAATTTTGTAGGAAAGTTATTAGGAAATTGTTAACATTTGAATTTGAATTAAAGATTTGCATGAAAATTATTAGGAAATTGTTAACAATTGAATTTGAATTAAAGATTTTTTTTATTTTTTTTTCTGTTTTCCCTATAAGTTTGTTAAAGCAACCATATTTTATTTAAACTTCTATCCCTTCCTTATTTAGAAATTTTAAAATTTGTTTTGCTTGCTATATTTAGTAAATAGTAATTTTTTTTATATAAGTATAGATTCGATTTTGATTATTACATGTTTTTAAAATTTATTTTAATGCTATGTTATATGTAACTGCGTGTTATTGTTGTTTATTAAAAAAAATTAATTGAACTGACTTGGTNTTGCAATTGCTTATGTGTGTACCGAAAAAAAGGCCCAATCATTTGAAAGTCACTGGCCCTTTTGATATTTGAATGGCCTAGGCAGCTAGTCAAGCAACAAGCAAATAAAAAGAAAGGAAACACCTTGTCCCACATTGGAAAACTAACAGAGAAATTTTATAAGATACAAGTCATCCAACCTGTTTGAAATAGTAGTCGCTGGGCCAGTTGAACCGGATCCGGTTGTCCAGTTTTAACGGTTTTTGACTGGTTTTGGTGCTCAACAGTTTAATGAATAAGACCGGACCGTTTAGTTGTCCGGCTCCCGGTTGAACCGGTCGAACCGGCCGGTCCGATCCGGTTTTGACAACTATGCTTTTATCCCTTCCTTATTTAGAAATTTTGAAATTTGTTTTAATTGCTATATTTAATAAATAGTAATTCTTTTTATATAAGTATAGATGTGCTTTTATTTAAGAGTCAATACATCTAAAACTAACAATTTAGGACTTCAATTTATATTACTTTGAGACTCAAAATAGTTGTGAACTGTTAGTTTGGGACTTGAAATACAAAATCTATCATTTGGGAGTCTAAAGATTTAAAATATCAATTGGAGACTTTAGTAGAAAAATATCTTTTATAATGTTTTTATTCATATTGAGATGCTTTTATTAATTTCTTATATTTTTTAACTCATTATTATAAGTTTTTATTTATATTTTTAGGTTTTTTATTTATTTATATCCTTAATAATTATATTCAGAGTCTTAAATTGAGTGTTTACAATATTTGAAGCCCCGAATCAATAAATTTAATTTTGCAGTCCCGAAATCGATAGAATTTATCTTTCAACATTGAATTGATAGTTGACCCATTTTTCGATACCCAAACTCATAAATTCTGATTTTTTTGTTACTTTTCTAATACTTGCTACTATAAGCATCAATTGACGAATTTAAAATTGAACTATATATTTTTCAAATGATTTATGTTTGAAATAATTGTTCACACTTATTTGTATTTGTTTTTAACATAAAATATTCTAACTTATATATGGCAAATATACTAAAATAGAATAATATATTATTTCATCCACACGCAAAAAAAAAATATATTTCATATATTCTTTTTTTCTATAGTTCGCTGCATTATTTTAACATAAATAAATAGTATCCTAAAATCTAGAGTTCCATATGCCTCTAATATTATCAATTTATTTATTTTTTATAAATAAAAAAATATGTGTTAGGAACATTATGTTTTCTACTTTTTGAGTCAATAATTCACATAATGGCTCGACAAAAATTTGCTATTTAATGCTACTTTTTATTTAATATATATTTTTTAATTTATGTTATGAGGATCCATTACAACATTCATTATTTTTCTCCATATATAAATAATTTTATTTTATGTTTACAAAATGTGTTTATATATATTACATGTGAAATGTTTGTGTTATATGAAAAAACTTTGAAAGAAAGAATATTTATTTATAAAAAAATGAGAAACAAGTAGAGAAGTTTTAAATTTTTGTATTAAAAAATATGTATGAACATTCAATAAAAAAGTACTAAAATAGAAATTAAAAGATAACTAAAAAAGAATGATCATTTTAAGGATAAAAAATATGGTGAAATATATGCATTAATCTTTATCATAGATGTAATTAAAAAGGAAAAAAATTGAGTGGTACCTAAAACGTCAATATATATGTTTCCAGTAAATCCCATTCCCTCACTTTGTTTTTTATTATTATTATTTTTGTTTTTATTATTTTGACTAGGAAGAAATATCATTTTTCTCAAAAGCAAAGATATTATTCGATTTTGTTTGAAAATCAACATTCATATATTTAGTCATGTGAGCTCATGTTGCTAACAAATTTTAATTTTTAAACATAAACGAATAAATATGTTTGGTTTTGAGTAATATAATAACATGATATAAATGACTAAATAGTCTTAATTAAAATGTCTAACCTCAAACGTTACATAAGATATGAGGCTTCCCCTAACGAAGGATGTCCTGCCTTTTGGATCTGCTGCATGCAGCAAACATACTAAAGAATTCCATTGATTTAAACTTAGTGAATCACCCACAAACATTATCTTCTTTCCCTTCCATCTTCTTAGAAGTTGTACACCATCAAACCTGTTGTCAAATATATATATATATGGATTTAGAATAAGAAGAAGAATAAGAATAGAACTTTTTTTTTTTTTTTTTTTTNTTATAAGACACGCAAAAAGCTAAGCTAAATCAAGAAACAGATCATTAGCAAATTAAAACAATTAATTATTCTAATTATATTTCATAAATGTTAATTACAAATTTACAACAATAATTTTACATGATGGGTTGGGATTGAGTCTTCACAAATGTACTTTGTTCATATAATAAGTTTATATGCTCTATATATGGTCCATTTGAGTAATTTATTTAGATTATGGTTCTACTCTACCTTTATATATAAAAAATTATTATATTCAAATATTGGATCAAGTATTAGAATTAATTAATATAAGTTAAAAGAGAGAAATTGACACACCTAGGTAGATTACAAGACGAAGGTTTCCATGAGTAGTTGAGGTAAAATCTATCCAAGCGGCCGAATTTTAAGCAATCGAATTCAGAATCTATAAAAGGGCAGTTTGAGGAGTCGTAAGAAGGGTTTTGTGAAGGATTATTAAACAGCCATTGGCCACTAAACAAGTTGCAGCCCTCTTGAACATAACTTAGGTTCCGAATTAGTTCTGCTTTTGCAGACACCATTATAATAAAGACAAGGAAGATGCTTAATAATGTTATGTATTTGATTCCCATCCCAGCTACTATTTAGTAAACGCTCGACCACAAAACTATTTAGTTCTGCTTTTATAGTCGTTCTTGACAAAAGGTTTGAGCAATACAACATTACAGAATTTATGTTTGAAGGAAACTGAGATTTTGTGTTCATGAATGATTAATTTCGCAAGATTTGGTCTTTCTCCGCTGGATTTTGTTCCCTTTTAATTGAGTATTTTGAAATATACTACACCTATATGGAGAATTTTTATGGAGTAAGGATTTTACCAGATTTTAAGAATCTATAAAATATAATAAGATTTATTAAAAAGAGTAATAAAAATTCACAAACAATTGATGCATACCTTCTTTGAAAAAATTTCAATTATGTTCATTAGTTACTTACATATACCCGTTTCCATATCGTATGATCAAAAAGATTATTTTCTTGAATAACTTTATCAACCTATGCAAGAATTTAACTGATACCCATTGCAATTTAATTTTCAGCGTTAATAATATTTTGGTCAAGATAAACATGAAAACAAATTTTAAGTTCTACTCATATTATTACTTTTTTCAAAATATCGACTTTTAGTCCTAAAATATAATAGAAAATCATATTGGGCATGTAAATTTTTTTTCTTCAAATTAATCATGTGAAATTAATCTTTGCCACTATAATTTTTTCTTAAACTTTATTTAACAATATAAAAAATGAATAATTTTTTAAATTAATATAATTTAACATTTAAGACATAATGACTAGATACATTAAATAGTTTTACTAATGACCAGATAACAAAATTAAAATATATTAACTCTTCTTTAGAATTTCTACACGTGACTTATTTTTATATTATTATCAACTATAATTAAATTTTTTATTATTTTTTTATTCTAATTTATTTCCATAAATGAAATTATTGTAAAATATAATTTTTATTGCATAGTATGCTAAATAAATTATAACAATGCAATTAAAAAACTTTCTTGATTATAAAAAGAATTTATTTTTGACAATTGTTAAATAAAAGTTGTTCAATTATTATAAAAAATAAATAAATTCTAATGCATATTATTGAATCAATTAGTTAATTAACATAAATAAACCTATTACTTTTATCAATGTGATCAAATTGTTTTCTTTCTCTTTTTACAAATTAGTTGTTATTGGTGACGCGTTACACACACAAACACACATATGTGTATGTGTGTGTTCGCAGTCCGAACCATTAATTAGGGATCAAGATGTGTAACAAAGATTTAACCTTTTATTTCATCTATGCAGTGAGCTATCTCATCTTTTGATTCACAGATAGCGAGATCATCTCTCATCTTCCTTCTCTGAGTGGTGTGAGCATGAAAGAACTTCGTGTTCTCATCGCCGTGCTTTAGCCAGTTGACTCTGGACTGATGCAAAAAGATCTCTTCAAATCTATAGGCTTCATTGAGGCTTTTCTGAATGTTAGTCTTAGAGTCTCCAGTTTCACCAGTTTCATATTTCACTGTATGCATCCTAGTATACCATTTTTGGAAAAACAAACCAGAGTTTCGCTGTATTTCAAAAGAGCATTACCATTTCAATGACCGCTTTCTTATAGCTTTCGGAGACTGATGGGTTCAGTCCATTAACAAGTACACATATATATTGAAAAGCGTTATAGAGGCACAAAGAAACTAGAAATCCCTAATGGCCTAAGATAAAACAGATCACACGGTTGCTTATAATTGCCTTTATAGGCCAACCGAATATCTTTCCTGGAATCTTGCCTTTATAATTGCCTTTATGCGTATAACTTTCTCTCCGTTTTTTTTTTCTTTTTTCCTTGATTGTTAACTATCCTGCAACTGGGTAAAAAACTAGGTAAAACCAAATGCTGCATTATGATAAGCCAGAATAAATAACAAAGTTGCTGAACAAGAATCCATGAATACAACCACATCAGAAATACAAGCTCTACAAAAAAATTCTTGTGAGTTCTCTACAATGAAGAAAGAGACAGTAAGCAATTACCATGAACAAGTAGCAAATATAACGAAAAGTCACTTCCATAATTCTTCCATGGGGATGCCACGCTCTTCAGCGACCTCCCTGAATTGCCTCATCTTCTGGACTGCAACAACTGTTGCCCGAGCATTGTTGAGGGCATTTTTGCTGCCCAATTGTTTCCCAAGAGCATTTTCAACACCAGCCATCTCAAGCACGATTCTCACAGCTCCCCCAGCAATGACACCTGTACCAGGAGATGCTGGCCTCAGCATCACCTTTGCTGCCCCATAGTCTGCCTCAGCCCTTATTCAAAATCAAATCAAATCAAAATCTGAATATGTGCCGACTCAAGTGCAAGAATTTTACGTATTTGATCATAGTTTGTCTTGAATAACAACTGCAGCCCCAATTACAAGTTACAACACCACTTCTCACTCAAGGATAGCCATTTGTGTCAAATTACTCATCAGAACACACATAGAGATATCCAATTGATTGAACACGAATTTAGGCGGCAGAAGAAACTATTGCAATACAAAATTCTATTAGCTATGCGAAAAGATAAAACTCACCTGTGAGGAAATGTCTTGTACTTGGTCATGGGAACGGTAGTTATGTTCCTTCTAGCATTAACAGCCGATTTCTGCACAGCCGTCACAACTTCCGTGGCCTTCCCAACACCAACCCCAACATTGCCCTGTTTATCCCCAACCACCACAATTGCCCTGAAATTCAGCTGTTTGCCTCCCTTTACAACTTTGGTCACCCTCCGAACTTGGACGACTCTCTCCTCGAACCCATCCCTCACCTTCTCCTTCTGGACATTCTTCTTCTTCAGCTTCGAGTCCATCACGTACACATCGTTGCCGAGATAGGACTCCCCGCTGTAGGCCGGCCCGTAGATCTCCTCGTAGGCCCGGGCGATTTCTTCCTCTGACATCTCCGGGCCCTCGTCGAACGACGGCGGTGGGACGAAGCCCTCCGGCTGCTCTGGAGGGCTGAACGTGTTGACCTCGTCGGGGTCGTCGGCGTCGAAGAATGTCGTGTCTTGGTCGGAGGAGTTAGCTAGCGGGGGCGATAGTTTGTGCGAGGGTTTGGAGAGGAGAGAGAAAGGGGGTTTCGAGGAGGAGGTATGGAGGCGGTGGGAGGTGGGAGGAGACAGCTGGCGGCGGAGGGGGTTGACGGTGAGTGAGGATAAGGTGGCGGCGATGAATGTGGCTGAAGCGGCAGCCATTGAAGGTGCTTGATTGGTGACTCAGTAGTGGAATTGAAATGATAGAGAGGGGATAAGACTGCTTTTCTCGTTTAGGTATTTGGACTGTAATAAGCAACGTTTACCTGCACCCAAACCGGCAAAGCTACGAGTTGAATGTTAAATTAGAGGTTTCAAAGGATCTTTATTTATTTTTAATTAAAATATCATAATATATTCATATAATAAAATATTTTAATAAATTCATAAGGTAAAATATGTCTGCACCCCATGTGTTTAACAAAATTTGCGTGTTTTTCCACTGTGTTTTAAAAAACATGTCACACTCTTTTATGTTTTACTTCTGCATGGGCAAATTCACTGACCGTTTAAGTTAACATGTTTTGGAAAGATTCTGTAGCACATGACACTAAAGATGCATTTATGGACATAGTGCCTCGTCGCAGTGAGAGAGATGCTAGACAGCCTGACAGATTCAAGTTCTTGGGAGAGTCTTCGGACTTCGTCTCGGGTGAACTTGAATCTGACCCTTTGACGTTTGATGAGACACTCCAAGCAAGGATGCAGAATCATGGCGACGTACGATGGTTGCTGAGATTGAGTCAATGAACTTCAATCAGGTCTGGGATCTTATAGAACCACCCAATGGGATACGACTCATTGGATGCAAGTGGGTCTAGCAGAGAAGGAAATGATCAGATGGAAAGGTAAAAACCTTCAAAATGAGGCTTATTGCGAAAGGGTATACTCAAGAAGAAGGAATCGATTATGAGAAAACTCTTTCGTCGGTAGCCATGCTCAAGTCCAATTGCATTCTCTTGGTTGTTTCTGCTCATTTGGACTATGAGATTTTGCAGATGGATGTCAACAAAACTTTTCTTAATGGGAGTAGGATAACATCTATATGCAGCAACCAGAGGTTCGTCACTGTAGACATCGAAATTTAATATTTATTAATTAATGTCTTTATTTATTTTTGGATATAAATCCATGATAAATAATATATATAATTAATAATATTATTATTTCTCGTCCACCAAGTCAAATCTTAAGATTATGAAAGAGATTATATCAAATCTTAGGATAAGAAAAGAGATTATATCAAATCATGAAGGACCAATCAAATTGAAGTATTCTTCTCCAAGATTCTCTCTCTTACACCTATAAATAGGCTCTCCTCAAAGTCATAAATCACACCTCAAAAATCAAAGTCTCAAATTCAAGAGCTATCAAGAACATTCTTGAAGATTTGAAGAACCTCTTGAAGATTTGAAGATCTTGAAGATCCAAAAGTTTTATGTTTTTCATAAAATTTATTGTTACAAATTTGGCACGCCCAGTGGGACATTCTTTACCTCTCATCTCTTCTCTTTAAATCAAGTTGGAGATCTTTTAAGATGCATGAAACAATCTTTTTGAATAAAATGTACAAGACGACAACTAAGGAAGATGCCTCTTTAAGCCATGAAGCCTTCATCCGGATGGAGGAGAAATAAAAGCGGTCTTCCATATCATTCTCAAGTTCCATTGGGGGGGGAGGGGGGGGGGCAATTTGCATGAAAAGCTCCATCAAATCTAATTCAATCTCTCCTTGATATGAGCTTAAACTATCTACAACGCTCTTTGATATGAGCCTAAACTATCTACAAATTCAAATGTTCCTTGATATGAGCCTAAACGATCTATAAAGCTCCTCGATACGAGCAAAAACTATCCAAAACCTCAAATTCCAATGCTCCTTGATACGAGTTTAAACTATCTACAATGCTCCTTGATATGAGCCTAAACTACCTATAAAGCTCCTCGATATGAGCCAAAACTATCCAAATATCCAATTCAAATGCTCCTTTATACGAGCTTGAACTATCTATATGGCTTCTTGACACGAGCATAAAATGTCTACAAATTTAAAGGCTCCCTGGCACGAGCATAAAAGGTCTACATATCAAGATATCCTTGATACGAGTATAAACTATCTACAAGTCAAATCAAATGAAGAACTCATTAATACGGGTATAAACTCTCTACAAATCAAATCAAATCAAAACAAGAACTCTTTGATATGAGTATAATTGTCTACAAATCAAGCCAAATGAAGAACTCCTTGTCTACCAAGTCAAATCATGAACTCCCTGATACGAGTATAAACTATCTGTCAAATCAAATCAAGACTCCTTGATACGAGTTTAAACTATCTACTAATCAAGTCAAATGAAGAACTCCTAGATAAGAGTTTAAACTATCTACATGTCCAAACCAAATTAAAAATTTTGAGACTCATTCACTACCAAGACATTTTGTCCGTGAACAAGTCTCAAGGAGGCGTTTGTAGACATCGAAATTTTAATATTTTATTAATTAATGTATTTATTTATTTTTCGACATAAATCCATGATAAATAAGATATATAATTAATAATGTTTTTATTTCCTGACTACCAAGTCAAATCTTAAGATTTTGAAAGAGATTATATCAAATCTTAGGATAAGGAAAGAGATTATATCAAATCATGAAGGACCAATCAAATTGAAGTATTCTTCTCCAAGACTTTCTCTCCTACACCTATAAATAGTCTCTCCTCAAAGTCACAAATCACACCTCAAAAATCAAAGTTCCATATTATCAAGAACCCTCTTGAAGATTTGAAGAACCTCTTGAAGATTTGAAGAAGTTATTGAAGATCCAAAAGTTTGATGTTTTTCATAAAATTTATTGTTATAGTCGCAAAGGGTCATGAGCATCTAGTATGCAAGCTGAAACGGTCCATTTATGGGTTGAAGCAAGCTTTGAAATCTTGGAACATCATGTTCGATGAAGTGATCCAGTCGTAGGGGTTCACTCATTTTCGAATGACCACTGCGTGTACAAGAAAAGTGACGAAAACGTGGTGGTGATTTTTTGTTGTACATAGACGACATCCTTCTCATTGGAAATAATGTAAAGGTGTTGGAGACGTAAAGGTATGATTGTCTAAGTAGTTTGATATGAAGCATTTGAGAGAAGTGAGGCATATTCTAGGGATCAAGGTGATTAGTGACCATGAGAATAGGATGCTCTGCTTATCCCAGTCTTCGTACAATGAAGTTGTCTTCGCTCGTTTCAGCATACAAGATACCAAGAAAGGTTTCTTACCTTTTCGACATGGGATTTCATTATCTAAGGAGGTCTCTCAAGATTCTTCAAGAGATAGAGGACATGAGAGAGATTCCTTATGCCTTGGCTGTAGGAAGCCTCATGTATGCAATATGGTGTACGAGGCGAGATATTTGCTAAGTGGTAAGCACGGTAAGCCGGTATCAAAGTAACCCGGGACAAGGTATGTGTTTACTCTGGGAGGTGGAACCATAGTATGACGGGGTGTCAAGCAGAAATACGTGGGAGACTCCCTTCTAGAAGTCGAGTATGTTGTAGCTTCTAGAGCAGCGAATGAGGTTGTGTGGCTCAAGAACTTTTTGACGGACATAGATGTCGTCCTGAGTTTGCCCAAAGGTATTATGTTTTACTGTGGTAATAGTGGTGCAGTAGCAATCTCGAATGAGCCACGAGCCCATAAGGCGAGTAAACACATTGAGCGTAGGCAGTGGAGAAATCGTGTTTTACCAAGATAGCACAACAGACTAACTAGTGGATCATTTCACGATGATTTTATCGATGAAAGTCTTCGACAGATACGTGGAAGGAATTTGGGTCAGATGTTTGGTGATATGATCGACATAGGTCTTTGAGAATAAGATCGAAAGTTGTATACAAAGAAATGCAACAACTTTAAGTATAAGTAGTAGAATGTTAGTGTGTATATTAAAAGCTTGTCTTTTTGTTATGAACATTATTTCTATTTGAATGAGAATCATGTTCAATTAAATGCTTCTATCTTCTGTTGTTTTACATTTAGATAAATATGGTTCATCACGGATGAACCTAGAATCATATTATCAGTTACTTGTAAAACATAAAAACTTATTCACAACCTAGATAAAATTGAACAAACTATCGGGAAAGGTTGTAGTGTAATTTAGGTCAGTTGGTCTTAACTTATGAATTACACTAGTGCACTAGTATAGTGAATTACACTAGTACACTAACTAAGTAATTAAACTAGACCTCGATAATTAATACGTACTCTTAAGCCGTAAAATAATAATGGACACAAGCACTCAGTAGTTATTTCATTGATTAACTAAATAGTGAGATTCATTTTGTGGATCAATAGTCTAGGTGAGTTAAAAACTAATGTTGTATGTACGGCGTGTTGTTCGATTGTTTACGATCAATGTGTGCTGGTATGCTAGTTTGACGATGTCCCCAAAACGAGCTCAAGAATGATTATTATGTCAAGCATTATAGGCGAATTTAATTTCGGTATAATAATAAAGAATTGAGTGGTATAATTTTCGGATCAAGAAGTCAATTAATTATGTTGCCAGTACTTAAATTAATTGACGGACATTATGTATCAAGCATGGAGAGATACATCTAGTAGATTAATCTGGAGCCTCAAATATAATTTGGGCGTTAAATAGAAAGTTCAGTAAAACTTTTTTAGTGGAATAAAGAATTATTCAAGTGTGGAAGGTGTAGGTGGACCAGAGCCTTAAAATCCTATTCACAGTATTTAGCACCTCTTTAGGGTCCCTTCGGTAGCCTATAAATACACCATCCCTTGATGTGTTATGGCAGCCCCTTAGTAACAGAAAACACATGCACGTTTGTGAGTTGAGAGACTCAAGAACATCAAAGGGAAGCTTTGATTTCGTCACCCACCAAGACGTACGAAATTGGTACAAGGAATACAATAAAAGATGACCGAGTGTCGCGACGCGACAAATTTGAATTTATAAAGTTTTCCTTAACAAACCTCTACTAACTAGTAGTAGCGGCAAGTAAGGGTCGATCCCACGAGGAGTAAGAATTAAATTGTGACAATCTCGTATTAATTGAATTAAAATATAAAAGCAATAAAAGATTCGGGGATTGGTTTTATAAAACTAAATATAAAAATAAAAAAATAAAATAAAAATTAAATAAAATAAGAGAAGTCCAGTTTTCGGTTCAGTTATCACCCAATCTAAATTTACCGTTAATTAATTTTCGACGACTTCTTTAAATTGCTAACAAATTACTAACCCTAGCTAACAATAAGCTCT